ATCTCGGGTGGGTGTTTCTGTCTCTTAAAGAGAAAATTTTTTTTTTTTTGTGTGTGTGTGTGTGTGTGTGTGTGTGTGTGTGTGTGTGTGTGTGTGTGTGTGTGTGTGTTGGGAATATTATGAAATAGTTGGCTGATGCAATGATCAGAAATTTTGTAAGGGTCTGATCTGTTGATACAGATTTTAGTCAAAAGACAATCTAAAAAAGAAATCTAAAAGAAGAGTTCCAGGTTACACACCTCTCTCTGCATCACTGGAGATCTCTGAATCTAAACATACAGTAAAATCCTTCAGGATGCAAGACAGAGGTATCTATCCAAATAAAACCTAAGTGCACGTTAAAAATTTTAATGATTGCAGAAGGGATGCCTTAAACCATAATTAGAATCTTACACAAATGTACAGCAAGACTGTTACAGTCAGTGTTGCTACATTATTAAAGCAGGCTCAGTATGTACTTCTTGTACTGTAAGTAGACTTGTACTGCAATGTAGAGATTTTCAGGAGGCCGCATGTGTTGACAAATCCAGCATGATAGGCAGATTTGGTAAAACAGAGCAACTTTGTAGCAACAGCTCTTCTTGTTATTCAGCAACAACCTAAATAAATAGAGCACATATTATCAGGATATGTCCTGTGATGATGTCCTTTCTTGAAGCTTCTGCAACCTTCTCTTGTTAGGCCAAATGTTTTTCCCTCAGTAACATTATACATATTGATGAATGCTGCTGGAGCCTAAAATATGCTTTATTAAGTGATAGGGAAGCCTCCCCCCCCCAGAAATTTAGCTTCAGACTGAAGGGGCAACAAGATTTCTCTCTCAAGGCATGTGTAAAGTTTTACTTTGTTCTTAATTAGCTGTAGCTGTGGTTTATATGTTATCTGCTACAAACTCAAAGGAAGGTGATTTAGCAATCTAACTGTCCTGAAAACATCTTCTTCCATAATTAAAAATATTTTGAGACACATTCTAATGTGTTTTATCCACTTTCTTTACAGACGTTTTGTTTTACGGTAACTGTAAACCTTAATAATTACACTGCGAGAATGACTTTACTTCTCCTCCCCAAACTTTACATACTGAATAGAACTCCTATAAGCCAATGACCCCCCTATAAAGATAAATGTGTTCACAAATATCAGGGACTTACTTACTACTGTGCCTCTTTAGAAAATCCTGAAACAGATTTTAAAGCCAGAAGATGACTGGCGCAAAGCACAACAAATTAGATGTGTGTATGCGCGTGCGCAAGTGTGTGTATGAATGCATGTCTGGAGATTTCCTCCCATCTTGAGGGCCTGTTATTAAGAATGTTGCCAACATAAGCTGTTTCTTACCATCATAGCAGAAACCGTGAAAACAGGGACTAGAGCTGCACTCATCCACATTGATTTCACAACGGGGGCCAGAGAAGCCCTGACGACAGTGACAGCGGAAGCCCAAAGGAAAACGGTCCTGATCCAACTCTTCCACACACACAGCACCGTTCTCGCAGGGATTATTGGCCTCACAGGGCAAGAATTCACACTTATAACCTGAAGTTAGGAAAGGAGGAAACACACACATAGAGGGACCATGCAGAACAAAAGAATCTCTATAGACATACAATTCAGCTGTAAAAAAAAAAAAAAAAAAATGGTGTCACCTACAGGGTTTAACTAAATATCTACTAAGGACACTGTATTATGCTCAGTGAAGCTCACTTGGGCAACTAGAAACAAATTAAGTCAGAAACGCACACTTAATTGATAAATAAACTGGCATAATCAACTTCTTATAAACCATTTCTGAAATCCTGTAAAATAATCCAAGTAGTAGATTTAAAGTCTGTGTATGACTAATACTATCATAGTCCATACAATCATGTCCCTCCAAATGGCTTAATATTAAAAATATTTAGTTTTATAAGCACCTAAAACAAAATATCTGTTTTGCTTCTTCTACAGCAATGACAAATAAGTTTGTTCAAAACTCAGTAAAACACAGACTTAAGTCAAATATGTTGCACCATGGCAGAACCAGGAACAAGTCACCACAGCAGAACAGAATAGAGTAAATTGTGATTTTCACAAAAAAAAAAAGTATGTGAAGTGTATTCAAGACTCACAGTGTAATATGATGCATACAGTAGGCTTTCAATTCAAAGTGATATATTATTTCAGTCAGTTCCGCTGCGGCCGCCACACGACCTGTCATGGAAACCCGCACGACGCCACCAGCTCTTGCGCTGCTAAAGATGGGCTGAGTGTGCTATGTTGGTAACCAGGTGGGTGAGCAGTGGTATGCACTGTGCTGACTCACCATTTCTAGTGGCTGTAACACCTAAAATAAAATAATTATTTATGTTGCGCTTTTCTCTGGGTTACAGATAACATAGTCATCAACCTGTCATCAGGCAAATGGACAAACATTGAGGGCTGTTTTCTCACCAATCGTGTTTGCAGAGTGCCAACATTCAAATGGTCAAATCTTCTACAGTTTGGAGACTTGTTGCTGGTTTTGTTGTGCCCAGTCACAAATGTTAAAGTACACAATTAGAATCATTCCCAGACAGACAGACAATGTGTGAAGCACACATAAACAATGTCAGCAATCTAACATGTAACTAAAATAAAAAATAAAATAAATAAATATATATATAAATATAAATATATATATATATATATATATATATATATATATATATATATGAAATGTCTTTGTGTAGAAGCCTAATGATGCCATGCAGTGCTTGTGAATTATGCCATAAACAATAAATCAATAATAAAAAAGCTAAAACAAACACTTTGGGATTTTGTCCTACCTCTGATAATCTCTGCAAAATAAATAAAATGTTTTTGATCCAAATAAGTCATTGCCAATAAAATTAGCTGTAAAAAAGAATATACTTTGAACAAAACTTAAAAAAAAAAAAAAAAAAAAAAAAAACACTTAAATGTTCACTTAAAGGCAATTGTATTATGTACAATTCCTGATTTCTTTTAGGGTGTACATACACCCGATTTGGTGTGATGGAAGGTAGTTCAATTTCTAAGAAAACAAATAAATAAAACATAACAGAAAAAAGTATTAATCCACTTAGAATTGCAGACTGAAGAGCTATATTTTCATCTGGACTCTAAAATTTCTCGACTCCCATTGCCAGTTTGAAATGTCTTTGTGTAAATTATTAGTGCTTCTTTTTTTTTTTTTAGTAATCACTTCCTCTGCCTTGCTTCAGCAAGGTTCAGATTTGTGAAGTGCTGTCTTGATTATTGTCTTTTCAAGGGGACCTCACAGCCAATGAGCTAATTAGAACTGTGAGAGTGGTACTGCGGTTTGAACAAGGGTTCATTCAAAATGTGTAAAGGTAGAGTCTGGCTGAATGTCTTTCATATGTTTTAATGATTTGCAATGAGCTGCTCTTAGGAACTGAAGTACAAAAATTTTAACTAGGTTATTTGAAGTTAATGGCAGACTTTTTTTTTTGAAGCCACTTAGAAATTAATTAAAATACTGCTGCACTTCAATAAATTAAAACATAAAAAATTAATTAATTTCTGTAATTTAACTCAAAAAGTGAAACTGATGTCAATCCATCGATTTGTGGTGTATAACCACGTATCTGCCGGTGGGCAGGAGGCAGGCTATGCACTGGACAGGCCTCAAACTGTCAATCCATTATACATACGGAGTTAGATATGTCCAGCATTCATTTTTATGATTATAGCTAATAAAATCCCAAATGATTTTTCTCAGAAAACTTTGTTACATTTCAGGAATTTTTTTTAACCAGAAGTACTAAAGTCAGTCCTTGAGGTTCAGCATCCAGTATGTTTTAGTTCTAACCTGCGTACATGGAGACGACTGACGACTCATCAGTTGTTAGCAAAGAGTCATTGACACAAAGTAACAAAAGTCTATTCGTAGAGAAGCTGGCAGTTAAATTTCTGTATCTAATCAAGTGAATGGAAAGTTGAGAAGAAAAAGTGTGGAGAAAAAAAGATGCACAAGCAGAAGGCTAACTGCAGCTTGTGAAGCAAAGTACATTCAAGAGTTTGGGGGCAGATGCTCAAGAGCCACTGAGGGCAGATATATTCAGGACCAGGAGCTGCATTCCTTTTGTTAAACCTTATACATAGAGGACATGGATCACAACTGTCACATTGCTGGAGTTAAGCCAATCTTGACCCAGAGACTATTTCAGGCCCATCTTATAAAGAAGAAAATAGATTGGACTGTTACACAGTGTTCCAAAGTCGTCTTTTCAGATTAAAAGAAACATTGCATTTGACGGAAACCAAGGACACAAAGTCAGGAAGAGAATTGGAGGGGCACTGGCTTGGGTTTCAATAGAACCGTCCACAGTTAGTGGTCATTTGGGGAGCCATGCCATATGTTGGTGTTGGGTTACTGTGTTCTCTGAAGACCAAAATCACTGTAGCTATCTACCAGGTAATTTTAGAGAACCTTATACTTCTTTTTGCTGAAAAGCCTTATGGATATACCGATTTCACTTCCCAGGAGGGCTTTGCACCTGCAGACACTGTCAAATGGATTGGTATGTGGGGTTTTAGCAGTGATTTCACTGTGCTGGACTGGCCAAACTCATCAAACCTAAAATTCAAAGAGGATCTATGGAGTGCTGTTAAGAGGAAGATGCAATGTTAGATCCAACAAAGCAGGGCAACTCAAGTACACCATTATATTAATCTTCTTTTTTTTTTTTAAACCTCAGCAGTCACAAGAAATTGCTATCATGCCACAGTCAATATTGCACCGACCATAACCACAAATTTCACTTTCTAACTGAAATACTAAAAATAATTATACATTTTTTAATAATTTTTATAACCTGATATGCACCTGTACTGATCACAATGAATAATGGAATCTAAATCAAAGATTTCTCAAACCACCTCAAAGCCTTTAGCTTTTATATGCACCGGTAATGTTGCAAAGTGCCACTCCTTCTATCTAACAAAGTGATGAAGTCGACACTTGGGTGGCCCAAACTTGACCGGGGCTTACATCAGTCTAATCACGCCCGTATTCTTTCTTTAACCTGAGATACAAAATGAAGACGTACTCATTTTAATGTGTCATATGAAGTGAGTTCAGGTGGGTGAAAATAATAGTATGTGAAGTTAATTAACTTTGCTTTTTGTCCCCCTTCTCTCAGTGCTCATTACCTTTAAATGGAGCCACACACTGGCAGAAGTAATTACCGGGCAGGTCAATGCACGTTGCGCCATTCTTGCAAGGAGATGAAGCACACTCATCAATGTCAAGCTCACATTCTGTACCTTTGACAGAAAATAGCACAAATTGATAAATATGTTGTAGTGAAGGGTGACTTGCACAAAGAATGCAGGTAATTAATTTAATGTTTGTGCCACAAACACTTCATGATCTGTGTCATAAGGGATCACTACTGTCCAACAGGTTTCTTAGCATTAGTGACTCAGAACAATTATTTTTATCTTATTGAAAAATGCATCCAAATATCTTGGGTAACCAACATGAACTTGACAAAATTAAATGTTTAGGAGAAAGGGCGCTTTGCAAATATTACTCACCAAACAAAACACAACAATGATACCTGGGACTGCGAAACAGAATTAAAGAATGTAATATATTTCAAGTAGTGATGCGACATGGTGTTCAGTGTACTTAGTATGGAATTTCACACATTATCTGTAATATGTCTGGAAAAATAGAAACGAGCCAATTAGTGAGCATAGACTTGCCTGTGCAAACAACCAGAGTTTGGGTAATTTACCCAATAATTCATTCTCTGTGAGAATTATTTGGGGTTGTCAGGAAACTGTTGAGAAGCAATTACTGTGTTTGACTTTGAAGAGTGGAATTGATGTATCTCCCAATTAATCTCAACTTGTCTTTGTAAAAAACAAAAATAAAGAAAACTTGATGGTTTTTTTATTGCTTTTCTCTCCACCTTGCTTTCAATTGGTGTTAGTAGTTATTTGCTTAAGAACATTGAACTGTAAGACAATAGTCTTGAAAAAGTGAGTTTGGCTGCAATGACTGTCGATTTTCATTTGTATCGATGTGTAAAGTAAGTGCCCTAGAAAAATGTTAGGAAACCTTTAATCATTTTAATTGATAATTTGCCATTTTAAGTCTTACTAGTTTAAGAAGAATGAAAGACAAAGCAAAAAAAAATTACTGTTGAAGCTTATTGTTCAACTTAAAGTTTCTACTGTAAATCAGAAATGTTTCTATAATCCGATGCACATGGCTAGCAAGACTATTAGAACAGGAGGTAGAAAGTCAGAAAATTCTAGGTCTAAATGAGACAAAAGATGAAGAATTCCCCTTAGCAAAATGTACAAACCTGTAAAGCCAAACTTGCACACACATTTGTAGCCATGAAGAAGGTCGACACATGTAGCATTGTGCAGGCAAGGAGAGGAAATGCATTCATCTATATTGACTTCACAGAAGTTACCTGTGATAAAAAACAACATGAAATAAAACAAAAGATGAATAAAGTAAAATCATGACAAGTGTCGATGTGACGGCTTGGTTTACACCAACAATAAATGTGATAAAACAAAGATGTACAAAATAGGTACACCAGCTCTGTAGACCCATTATAGGCTGTGCATTGCTCCACCTTTTTTGGGCAAAGTCAACAAAGCAGCTGAACAGCAAACACACAAAGCAACAAGATGTTTCCTTTTCCTTTTTGCACTATCACTGTCTCACACATTTACAGCCTGTGTGAGCGCAAGAGGAGGCTGTTACAAAGTGTGAAATGCCAACATGATAATGGGTCTTTGAATTACGCCAACAATTCATGTAATTACAGAGTACTGCTTGTGCTGCTCTTGTAACACTACAAAGGACAGAACTTGCTGTATAGCCTCACTACCTTCCCTGAAGATGAGCCATGAAGGTTTGCATGTAGTTCATGTTGACATATTGATTTTCTTTTTTTTTTTTTTTTTTTTTTTTTTGGTCAAAGTCTATTGTCAGTAAGAAAGAAAACAGAGACTTTCACAAATACTTTGGAAAAATGCAAAGATTTTTAAGTTCTTGAAAACCAGGAACAATCTCTATCTGTGTTTAGATTTTTCTTAAGCAAACATGTTAAAGTAAAAAACAACAATGTATTCAGGTTTTTTTTAATATTTTGTCACATGATTTGAATCCAACAAATTAAAAACAGAATTAAATTTCTGTTATTTAAATTAACAGAAATTAAATAATAATTTCTGTAAGTAAAAAGGAAAAAAAAAAAAAAAAAAAAGAAAAAAACTATTCTAACAAACCTGGCCCTGGGCAAAAAAGTAAAAACTGATTAAAGCTAATAATTGGTTGAGCTGTCCTTGGTTGCAACAGTTGCAACACTTTCAAGTAACTTTATTTTAGCTTAGTCTCATTAGACTAATTTAAACCATAAATGGCCTCTTCAAGGTCAAGCTATGCATCCCAATTTGATTTAAGTCCAGACTTTGATCAAACCACTTCAAAAAATTATTTTTATTGGCAGCTAATGCCGACCGAACGTGTTCCGCACGTCGAAAATTTGTCAAACGCCTCAAGTTGGACATTTGTGCACTTTGAAGTCAGACGTTGATATCGAGCATCAAAAAAGCTCTAGACGCATGTTGGGAGGAGCGTCTTGGCTCTCGCGTTCTTTTCCTCTCCGGGTCTCTTTGAACAATGGCAGATAAAATTGAGAAATTGGCTTGGCTTTATTTACTGAAAGCGAGAGGATGTAGTTTGCTGACCTGCACTGGTGCCTACATCTTCTGCCAGGACACCAACTACAGGCCACTACGTCACATAGCAGAATCTCTCCGTTTGGTTGACGTCTGCGTGACAGTTTCAACAAATATGCAAAGTTACATAGCGTAGCTTTGAAGTTATTCAGATCAATCCCTATGGTGGACAACTCAGTTACAAAATTTCTCACTCTTTGTTTATTAACTTTAGTATTGAGTTGTAGCCATTTCTAGTAAATCTATTACTGCATCAGATTTAAATTCTGGTTTTCACCACAGTATTAGGATATACTTTCCAACACTGCTAATGTATAGTTAAATGTAGACAAGTGTCAATGAAGGCAGTACTCACTTAATTGCAGTTGCATGTGCTGCTTGTGTGCTTGAGTGTGTAAATAACTTAATCCATTAGCAGCTAAATAAGTGGTGTAACAGTTCAGTGTGTTGTTCTTTGGAGACCAAAGAACAACACATTTCATGTCCTCTTTCTCAGTCAGTTAGTTGCTTTATCAGTAGCGGGCCATGTAGCTTATCCTCTATAACAAGGCACCTCATGCGCCTATGCATCATCATTATTATTATCAAACAGAAGAAATAAAAAAAAAGGCAGTTTTCATTTTTTTGTCCCAGGCAGGTAAGCATTCAAACTTTAAAAAATAAAATAAAATAAAAATGTTGTAAAACAATAAACAGGAAACCAACAACAGAGTACAACTTTTTAATGTAATAAAAAACCTCAGGAGCAATCAATCAAACTTGCTCTGATAAAACAAAGTCAGAGTTAAGATAGTAAAATATCAAAGGATATTTGAGAGGCATCTTGATTTAATGTTGAAATTGGACTTTAAATGCATTTTAATTCTCACTGTTCAGTTGTGAACAGGAGTGTCAGTCAGCTTCAATCAGTGTTAGCTATATTTACAATACAATTGATCATTCTGTTAATTACTCATTTAAGCAGGTGTACATGTTTATAGCAATCTAATTGATAATTAATTGTGCACCTACATACTTGAATATTAAAGTTTGTTTTTTATTCTCTGAGCTGCATCTTCTTTAAACACCTACAGTTTTCTTTTAAAAGCTACTAAAAACAGCTTTTGTAGTGGCTGTCATAACACCAAGGAGACAGCTGTGACACTAGTTAAATAAACAACACAGAGATCTGTGAGTGAATAACAGGTGAGACTGATCAGCAGACAACTTGTCAAAGGATCCTTGGAGATGTGGCAGAGGAGGAAAGTGTGAACTGAACTCACAACCATCAAATCCAACAGATTTGATACTAGCTATTAAAAAAAAAAAATCCTTAACTGTTATGACTATATCATCTAATAACTGAAAAATGCTTTAAAAGTGTATCTTAAATTAACAAGGAATTTAAAGAATCTAAGAAATTCTCACCCACCTGTTATTCCAGCAGGACAGTCGCAACTAAATGAGTTGAGCTCATCAATGCATGACCCCCCATTTTCGCAAGGGCGACTCAGACATTCATTCACTTCAATCTCACAGTTATTTCCTAAAAAAATGTTTGAGAGCAGAATATGTTGATTGCTTCTTAAAACAGAAAAAAAGCCACATCACTACATAAGGAATGACTTCAAGATAGCTCTCACTTACCAATAAATCCAGGTGCGCAGAAGCAATTATAGCCATTCAGAGAGTCTTTACAAATGCTGAGGAGTCCACATGGATCCAGTTCACAATCATCAATGTTTATCTCACAAAACTGACCTGTTAAACCTGTAGAGAACAGGCTGTTAGCTCATTCTAGATAAAACATTGTAATACTGTTATACGACTGCTGCAACCACTGCTACTAACATATGATTGATTGATGACTCTATATCAGATGTGTGGCAAATAAATTAAATGGTACATTTAATCTAACATTTCTGAAAAGATTGAGGAAGATGCATCCGCTTAGTTAAACTTGCCCTTTTCTTCTGCATAGTCAAGCAAGTGAAGTAATCATTTAGGTACATTATTCCGAGCAAAACTCTCATATATATACATGTGCACATGCTGACATACAAATATAACATAATACAACATGATGATGTGATCGAAATATCACAGCGTTGAGCATTATGTGTCGTCGATATGGCCTGTGATGTAACACAGGCCTTCATAATAATTTATGTCATCGACAATAAAGTTTTTTTTATTTTTTTTTATTTTCACTTTTTGTTCTTTTAGTATTACCACTACCAGGTAAAAAAAAAAAAAAAAAGATACATTTGCATTGATAAATTAGGCTTAACAGTCATTTTGTCATTATAATATGAACCTAAAATGTATGGCTTTGCCTGTACATTCCCTAACAGTAGACTCTTACTTTGATGAAAATCCAACACATTCCAACACACAGACATCCTGTGCATTATCAGTGCTTTGAAGTCAACTCACATCCTGATGAGCTAAGCCCCGACTTACACAATGCATAAAGGCTACTGCGGGTTGTTGCTTAAGGCCAAAGAGATTAAACTCCTACAGAGAAGAAAGCTGAACAAGTGAAAGCATCAGCTGGAAGTGTGCCTGCTATGTACATGATTCAGTCGAGGGGAAGCCTCTGCTTCAGCTGAAGGGCGAACCCACCTGGTAAACAATCGCATTCGAAACCTCTTGACAGATCCACACATGCTGAACCGTGTTGACAAAGGCCGTCAACACAGTGGTTTATAGGTGTCTCACAGCGTGTTCCCGTGTTGCCATGATGGCACACACATCTATAAGTACTTTTCAGCTCTTCACAGAGAATGGTCCCTTCAGGGTCACATGGATTTGACACACACTGGTTCACCGACGACGAGCAGTCTCCGCCACTGTAGCCTGAAAAAGAGGCAGGATCAAAGAAGAGAGTGATGTGCCGTAAGCGGTTTCCTTATGCCTACCTACACATGGCAGGATTCACATATTTTGATTTCACATGATGCTCCAGTTGCCTGTGATTTTTATGGTTGCTGATTTTTACTATTTAAGCAGACTAGGGAGAAAATGGTAAAAAAAAAAAAAAAAAAAAGAAAACACGCACTGGCAGTGGCTTCAAATAAGCTGTGATTATGTTCAGAGGTTAATGTGTTTGTCATTGATTTCACAGCAATAAACAACATTAATATGTTTTCATTACAGACAGAACTCACAAAGGAGACCGCATTAAGCATGAAAAGGTCCAGGTAAACACAATAGCCTAACATGGTGTAATCTATATTCACCACACCACTATATCAAAGGCTTAGCCCACATATTAAATCTAATAGGAATTTAGATAAATTCACATAACTCAATTTATTAAAAAAAAAAAAAAAAAAAAAAAAAAAACTTTTCCTAAGGGGCAAATGCACTGTACTTCCTCAGTGTAAGAAAGGAAACAAGTTCCTCCATTTCTACAGAGGAGTGGGTCAGTTGTGCATGCAGACAAAGATATGGAGCAATTCTTACCTGAAAGATTTGAATGACATGCATAAGACAAATAAATGACAGTGGCTCTGAAAAAGTTTTTCACATCTCTTTTAAATGGAATTCACAACAAATGTTGACTCAAAGCGCTTTGCAAAAAAAAAAAAAAAAAAAAAAAAAACGACATATGTTCCAATTGATCCTTGTTAATGAGAAAGAGGAAAAACATGAAG